GCAATTATTAAGAAGTAGAGCATGGATTTGAAGGAGAGCAGGGAGGGTTTGGAGGGAGAAAAAGGGAAGGGAGAAATGTTTCAATTATATTATAATCTCAGAAAAATCTGGAGAAAGAATGCATTAGTGAGACTGATATTTGTGTCTTGAAACTAAATTGATTTGACTTAGACCAGAGATGAGGGACTGAAGACTGCAGAGAGAAACTTTTGGGTTCATGTATTTCCTGTTGTTATCGTAACGAATCACCAAGCTTAGTGGGTGAAAGTAGCCCAAATTTTCAAGATCTGGGACCAAATCTGGGATATTCTTAGTTGTGTGACATCAAGATATTGACAAGGATGAATTCTTTTGGGAGACTCTAGAAGAGAATTTTGTCCTTTGACCTTGTGGCTCAGAGTCTCTTTCCTCCATCTTTAACACCATTAGGGTAGAAGCTCCAGTCTCTCCAAATGATGTTCCCATCTCCCTCTTAAAGGGGTTCATTGGGGTTATCTAAATAATCTTCATATTCCAGGGGAATGTAGTTATAGTTTTTGGAGATTACATTGCTAAACCATGGAGGGGGCCACAGCTCTGCTTACTATAGGAGTTGAGAGTTGATAAATAGGTGGAATGGTTTTCCGGGAGCATTAGTGATTTGCATTTTTCAAGATGTTCCATCAGCTGGACCGCTAAGAAAGGATTTAGGAATAATTTTATGTCCCTAAAAGCCCAAGCATTGAGATAAAACAACTTGCTGTGATTTTCTAGTTGTAGAAAAAATTAAGTCTAAGTGTACATGGTAACGTGGCTGCTGGCTGAAGTGAAAAAAAATTCCTGATATTGTACTTCATACTTGTAGATATTCACAAATGGACAACTATAACTAGACCAGACAGTGTCTTCCATTGGATGCCCTCACTAATCTTTTTTGGAATTCAGCAATTTCCAGATGACTGTTCAGCGTATTTTAATTTTACAAGACAAATCTAGTTTCCAACTTTTAGGATTAAGCCTCATTAGCTGAGTAAGAAAGTTCTCCGTCAGAAGCCCTAAAGTGAACTGGAAACCCCTGGTGCCCTCTCGGCTTGCTTCTGCCTTCCACCTGCCCCATAGCACAGCCAGGACTTTGAGCTTCCTGTAGCAGGAGGCATCTGAGCTTGGCAACTGCAGATGGTTGCTAAGAGAAGTTCTGACAGCCCAGGATAGAAAGTGCATTAGACATTTGGAATACCAAAAGCTTTTAGATGTCAAATATCTCAAAGTGAGCGTTGGGTTAGTTTTACAACACAAACATTTATGAAATGCTGAGGAAATGAGCAGTGCCATGCAATTAATTGAGTCCCGGCAGAATATCTATGCAATTTAGATATAAATATTTACACATCTTCAGTTTTCTGGCTAATGAAAGCAGGTCATCCCACATTACAGAGATAATTCCATTTCCAGTAATCTTGTATTTATTCAGTAGACAGAAATGATAGATCGGTTTGTTTTAGATATAATACTTTTATAGACTTACCCTGCTTTTAAAATGTAGCCAAGCTCACCAGACTCCACAATAATGTAATGAGTAAGTATTGCGCAACTTTAAGAAATTTCCTAAAGATTTTTGGGCCCTACAGTTAGGGCCTATATGGCAATGGATCATTTTGGAAGTTTGATATCTATGAAAAGAATTTCTTTTGTTGGGAAAATAAAGCCTAGGGCTAACATTTCGGTGCCCTGGCATTGGGAAGCGACAAACGACCTCGTTTCCTACACAAACACCTTTTATCTTGCTATAAAGTTCTATCACTACCACTCATGTCAGACCCCATGAGGCTTTTGATCCAGGAGCTGATTATGTGTACTTTAAAGCTGCTCTTCTCATCTGTTTTTATGTAACCCATTACAAAGAATGAGCAATTTCACTAGAATATCTACATGCTAGTTGTATTGATCAATAAATTTCATTAAGAATAATCATAGGTTACGGAGGAAAAATAGAAGAGAGCAGGATGAGAAATACCATAACAGAGGGCTCCATTATAGATCCTAGGAGAGATCTGGCACTAGGGAGATTTCCAGACATCTACAAGGATGACACCAAATGACAATCTAGGCAATGGTGGAGAGGCTACCCTAAATGCCCTTCTCCTATAATGAGACTGATGACTGCCTTATATGCCATCCTAGAGCCCTCATCCAGTGGCTGATGGAAACAGAGGCAGACACCCACAGTTACACACTGAACTGAACTCTGGAACCCAGTTGCAGAGAGGGAGGAATGAAGAACAAAGAGGTCGGGACCAAGCTGGTGAAACACACAGAAACAGCTGACCTGAACAAGAGGGAGCACATGGACCCCAGACTGCTGTCTGGGAGGCCGGCATGGGACTGACGACTGATCCTGACCCCTGAACGTGGATGTCAATGAGGAGGCCTCGGCACTCTATGGGGCCCCTGGTAGTGGATCAGTATTTTCCCCTGGTGTAAGAAGGGACTTTGAGAGCCCATCCCACATGGAGGGATGCTCTCTCAGCTTGGACACATGGGGGAGGGCCTAGGCCCTACCCAGGATGATATGACAGACTTTGGGGAACCCCCATGGAGGGCCTTACCCTCCCTGGAGAGCAGAGAGGGGACAAGATGGGGGAGCTGGTGGGGAATTGGGAGAGGGAAGGGAGAGGGTAAAGGGATTGACATGTGAAGCAAACTTGTTCCTAATTTGAGCTAATAAAAAATTAAAAAAAGAAAAATCATAGGTTAAACCACAAAGGGGAAAATACATTATTCTTTTTTACTGTAGCAAATCCCCGTACAATGTGATGTATCATGTTTTAAATTTGATTTTTATTATAATTTTTCTTTATTCTTGAGAATTTTCATCATGCATACAATAGGATATGATCGTATCCACACTCTCAGTTTCCTCCTCCACTGCTCCTGAATTCCTTTCAACATATCTACCCTCCAACTGTATGAATTTTCTTCCTTTTATTATTGTTAATTATTATTATATGATAACCCACTAACTCTAACTAGTGCTTCCCATATGCATTGAGTATGAAGGTATCTATTAGAGCATGGGACAGCTAACAGCAGGAATACCCTAAATAAGAATGATTTTCCTCTTAGCAGCTATCAATTGCCGAGAGCTACTCACTAAGAAAGGGGTCTGGAGAACACCTCCTCTATTTATACTGTAATTTTAGCAGGTATGATCTTGGGCAGACCTTGTGTAAGTAGCTACAAACAACTCCCATGAGGGCAAATAGCCATATCATGCCCAGAAGACAAAATTTCATAGCAGTTCTCGCCATCTTTCAGTTCTTACATTCTTTCTTCACCTTCCCTAATATGTTCCTTGAGCCTTGAAATGAGGATATTGATAAAGGTGTCCCCTTTATGAGCACCCTGTCTCTTATTTTCAGTACTCTGACCAGTTGGGAATTTGTCCACTGATGGTGGTACACTGTAAAATAGATGAATGGATGGAGGGATGGATGGATAGACAGATTAGCTAACTAACTAACTAACTAACTAACTAACTAACTAACTAACTAAGACCAAGGCTGAGAGCTAAAGCTTCTCTGACCAAGGCTGAGAGCAGCCCAGGCCAATGGCAATACATATATAAATGTTTGAAAACATAACCATTTAGAAAAATAAAAATAACAGGTTCTACACTAGGGCCTGTGACTTCACTGGGCTTTTGACCAGGATTATAGTACCAAGCATTAAATTTCCTTCTGTGGAGCTGGTTTCAAACCCAGTAGAGTGGTTAGTTACTCTGTAACAGTCATGGCACTATTGTACCGGTAGGCATACATTGTCTTGCTGGTCAATATTGCATCATTGAGAATTGAGAGATGGATAAGGACATTGATGCCTTCCTGTTCATCCTCCCAAAGCCTTAAAAGCACCCCTGGCACTCTGAAAGCCAGACATCAGGGAGGAAGGGCCCTAATCATTTAGAGTTAGATATCACTATGTCATGCAGGCAAAGCAACAGGGTCTTATTATGTAGTTATGGTGGGTGACCAGGTTTATGCTGTCTTGGATGTGGCCTCCTGGACCAATAACTCGTACAGAGGTATCCTGGGTCTTGTACTCTGATTTTCACTTAACAGTTCAGGTCTTCTATATTATTTAGCTAATTAAAAGTTGAAAACTTAAGAGGACAAACAGGACAGATGAGTGGTAACAATGGCTAAGCAAGGATTGAGAATTGTTTTCCTTTATAAAATTGTACTTAAGCATTGTTTCTTAAAAATCTTTTTCTAAAGCCGTTGCTAGACACCTTTGTTTCTGCTAACAAAGGAATCTAAGTTTACAGCTTCCAGTTAATCACAGCCCTTATTGACTTCATGACCTCAGTAGTTTGACTTTTGTCCTACATACCACAGAAATATACTGCTGCTCCAGACACTGATGCTTCCAGTCACTGAAGCCTGAATCCTCTCTGTGCCATCAGCCTCTAGGACACTATTTTCCTGCAAACACACACACCCCTCCCCACACACATATACACCCCCTCATACCCCCTCAGATACATACATAGACTCACATAGGGACACACACACACACACACACACACACACACACACACACACATGTGCAGGCATACACCCTGCCCAGCTTCCAAAGCACCACTATGGACCCCATCAACAGCGCATTTTTATTGAGTGCTTAGTGTGTGTCAGGTACTTTCTGGGGTATGAATCACATCACAGCTGGTAACTGATTAAAGTGACTGCAGGTGTGAATTTGAGAAATTAACAGGGAATCAACTGGTGTGAAGGAAACACAATGATCTAGAACAGATTGAGCAACTGAACACAATGCAATGTGTGTGAGTTTGAACTTCTTAGTAGCCACATTTGAAAAGGAAACCAGACTTAATGAGTTTTAAACACAGGTTCAACGTATCCAATGTGTCATCATTTAAACATGTAATCAGCATACAGTTATTTTTATATCAACCTTCAAAATATCTATCTTTATAATTGTATCTATTTGACATGAAAACATACCTTAATTCGAAGTAGCCACATTTCAGAAACTTAATAGTCTGGTTGAAGAATCTAGAATAAGATGAAATGAGCAAGGGAATGACATTTTTATGTCTTAGAAGTAGAATGAGTTTTCTTAGCAGTTAAGGCCATTTAGTAACACAACAACTCCAAGAGGAAGTTCTCTATTGGGCATGAGACTGAAACTGGGGCTGATATAGTTGCTTTCTTATTACCTTTATCTAATTATCCCCTTTAAAAACAACAATAATACATATTGGAGCAACAATTTAGACAAGGCAGAATTGTATAAAGGAATATTTAGGCTGGTGTAGTAGTGAAGACTTGTAAAGCCAGGAGGCTGAGGCAGGAGAACTGTGAGTTGCAGCCCGGCCTGGCCTACAAAGCAAGGCTCTGTCTCAAAAGCAAGCAAGGAAGCAAACAAGCAATAAACAAATGTTTAATCCTTTTTATTTTTATTTTATTTAAAAAACTTAAAATGACGTGCATCACTGTATTCGTATGTGCACACGAGGACAGTGATTGCAGAAACTTGACTAGGGCCTTGGGTTCCTTGAAGATTGAATTACAGCACGTGTAAGCAGCTGGATGTGGGTGCTGGGAATTGAACTCAAGTCCTTTGAATAGGCAGTACTGCTTTTAACTGCTGAGCCATCTCTTCAGCCCAGTGGTTAACACCTTTCTATTCTCCATCTCTGAGTTAAGAAATACTAACAGATTGAATTATATCCTTTCAGATGCATATTTAGAAAAAGAATATCCAAACACATACACGTGTACCCCCCAATACACACACACACACACACACACACACACACACACACACACACACAGAGATTTTGAAATAAAGCCATAAAAGGTTTGAGACAGTTTGCTTTCTTTTACTCTCTTTTTGCGTTTCTCTTGTCTCTGTCTCTGTCTCTCTTTGTGTGTGTGCATGTGCCTGTGTGCATGTACCTGTGTGTGTGTGTGTGTGTGTGTGTGTGTGTGTGTGTGTGTGTGTAGGATGATGTTTGATACCTGATGTTTTCTTTGGTCAGAAGCTTGATTTGGATAGTCGACCTAGCCAGCTTGCCTAAGGATCTGCTGCCTATGTCTCTCAAGGAAGTGTGAAGATTATGAGTGGGCTGCCATACCCACCTAGCTTTTAAAAAATGTGTATATGGCTGTCTGTCTATATGTATGTATGTATGTATGTATGTATGTATGTATGTATGTATGTATGTATGTATGTATGTATATACATAGATGTGTGCATGCCGGGACACTTGTACAGAGGCTAGAGGACAGCTTACAGAAGTTGGTTGTCTTCTTCTACCATATGGGTCCCAAGGATTGAATTTAAGTGTCAGGCTTGGTGGCAAAGGCATCCTTACCTGCTGAGTCATCTTAAGAGCAGACCCCAACCTGGCTTTTACGTGGGTCCCGGGACCTGAACACCAGTCCTAGTGCTATTGTAACAAGTGCTTCATCTGGTGAGTGCTCTCTGTTGCCCTTCCTTCTTTATTCAGTAAGATATTGTCAGTGTCTCTCAAGGCCAAAGAATGCACATCTCTCTCATCTCTAGAGGGTTGCTTCCTTTTCTTTGTTTTCCTTTTCTTTCTTTTTTATATATTTGAATTACAAACAAGATTGAATTACATGACGATCCCAGTGTCTTCTTTTTTATAGACTGATAATCCATCAGTTACTCAAGCATTTACCTGTTGAGATGACACATCCTCTTGAGGCATCGTTGAGTCACCCAGGCTTGAGGTAAAAATTTATGAGGACATAGCCAACTCCAGCTGTATCAATGTGTGCAGCAGCTGTCTTGAGTGGTTATCATTAAACTTTATATTCATTTTCTCTCCAATTCCTCCAGTGGCTATCATCTCATCTCCTTATCCCTGGGGAGGCACTAGTGGGCAGAATCAAGGTCCTATTGCCTTGAGGCATGATAACATTTCATTGTCCTTTCGGCTTTTCCGGTCTCACTCTTGCTTTGCTTGTGTGCCTGGAGTCATTTTTTGGATAAATGGCCTCCAGTGGTCATGGGGTCATCTTTCAGATGACAGGCGTACATATAGAGGCTGCCTTAAATGTTTCCTTTATAGACCAGTGATTTTAAAAATTAAAGCATTGTATTCTAAAACTAAATGTGTTGTTGTCAGATTACCTTTCCAAGTCTGTAGCAGTTCCCAGGCTAAGCAGCAGTGCACAGGATTGTCTGTTCATATTCACGCTAGCCAGCAGGGGTTATGTTGAGATTCTTGCTACTCTGGTTTGAATAAAATGCTGTATCACTTTGCTGTAATTTTCCTTTCAGGCACATTAGATTGGTATGGTCTGGCAAGGAACCAGAGTGTTTGCAGTCACATTAGTGGGATGGCTATCTTTCCATGTTTGAAAAGATTTAATCAAATCCATGCCAAGAACTCCCACATAGGGAAGGCCTTACCCTCTCTGAAGAGTGGGTGGGGAGGGGGGAAGTGAGGGGAGTGAAAGGAGGGAAAGGAGTAGGAACTGTCGTTGGTATGTAAAATGAATAAAAATTTTAAAATGAAAAAGAACTCCCACACAGATATGATGTAAGAGGTGAAAATAGTATAAAAGAAAATTTGTTTTTACCACAAACAAGGAAAGACTATCATAAGCTCAAAAAGAAGAAATTCTTATTCATAAATATAGATGGACAAGCTTGGCAGTACAAGTAGAATTTGTGCCTTTTAACAAGGCCTTGGTGCTTCTGAAAAAACAAAACAAAACAAAACCCTACACTGTGAACAAACTATACCATAAATCAGTCCTAAAGAGAAAGATGGAGTGGAAAAAACATGCACAAAACATACAACTCGAGAAAGTCAAACTGTTACAGCTAAATAGGTAAAGGATTAAAGTAGAAGAGAATGTGCGACAGGCCACCCTGCCCCTTCTTTTAGCAGCAGAATTATCCGTGCCTTTTTAATGCTCCCACAAACAAAAAGAGGCCTACTGAAGATGCAACCTTTTGAAGAGAATTTGCTCAGACGTAGAGTAATCAACGGAGAGTGCAGTCAACTGTCCCAGAACATGAAGGCTTTGTTTATGTAACACAATAGAAGTTAGAAATAACCCAGTAGTTTTTGCCTAGCTAGAACAGAGAATAATTTTCTTGCATTATCTATATGTCATGTAAGTACCTACATTCACTTGTCCTGCATTGTTCATCTGATTGCTCCAGAATATTGCATTAGGTAGTTTCTGAACCCGAAGTACCTACTTTGTTCAGTGCAGAGTTTCCCCTGTGATACCATTCATGAGGGAGAAATCCCCAAGCTCCTGCCAGTCTACACAATTTATTTTGATATCTTAAAAGCACTTTTTAAAGGAAAAAAACTGGATGTATTGCAATGCAGCAATGCCAGATGGGTTAACATTTCTATTTCTTCGGCACTCACTGCACTATGGTGAAAATAATAGTATTTCCTTGTCCCTGTTTACACTGGCTGAGTACTATGAATTATGGCTCTGCTCCAAAGCTGGTGACTTATCGAGCCATAGCTCTGTTCACCCACAAATAAAATATTTTTCTGTACTTGCCCTTGGGGCAGGATGTCAGTGGGAGGAGATACTGTGATGTTTCTAGTCCCTGAGCTGTGGCAGGCTCGCTATAGGCTATGTTAATGTGAGTTTTCTCAGCTCAGATATTCACTTTATGATTTGAACAGGGCAGTGATGAACAAACATAGTTTTCCCTTGTTTTCCTCCTCTAGTGGATTAGTTACTTTTTGCCCAAGTTTGCTTATTTTTAACCATATCCAAAGAGATGGAAAAGGCCTCAGAATTCCGTTCCCAGGAGGACAGTGACAGTAAGTTGTAGAAAAAAAAAAAAAAGAGTTCTGAAACTTCTTTAGAAATGACTCTGATTCAGACAAGCAAATATTTTTAAAAATTGAGTGGATTTCTCTAAATCTCGTGTCAGAAACTCTTAGAGACATTTTTTGGCAACTTAGGTTTAAATTTTATTAAAAAATTAATGAAGGTTAGATAAGATAGAGGAAGCTTCACTCCCAGTTTTTCTACATAATTGATACTTAGATCACGAGGTCATTGTACAAGCTTCAGGATGACCGCGTAGCCTAGTTTTTAAGGGTGTAGCATCTAGTTGCAGGCTACAGCGGCCGGTGAACTCTACCAGGATGTTTGCACAGCCTTTTTTGCTTGTTTGTTTTTTGAGACTGAGTTGCACGTAGCCCAGTCTGGCCTTTAACTCATTAAGTAGCTGAGGATGACTTTGAACTTCTGATCCTCTTGCTTGCATCTCCCAGGTGCTGGGATTACAGGCATGTAGCACCACACCCCAGTTTTGTTTTTATGATCTTGACATAGACACCACAGCATAGGTTTATCTGTGAGGCACTCGTGAGAAGGTCAAACAATGATCTCAGCTGATGACTGTCTTCCACTGACGTCAAGAGCATTTCATAGCTTTTTGTTTGGTGTATTTTTAGATTCAAAAAGCACAGCTGGTGCACTTAGTAGTACCACTCTTGACTCACAGATTTTTGTTAACCCTCACCATCAGTTTTTAACAGACATAATTATGTGTCAGAGAAACTTTTTTTTTCTCATCCAAGTGATCATTTTACTCAGAAAGGCAGTCATAGTCTATTCCATCCACGTACTATTATAGGGAAAAGGTGATTGGGCAGTGCAAGTGCCACTTATTAACCAAACAAAGAAGAGACTCAAAATCTTCAAGCATCACTTTTCTTCAAATGGAGATAGTATTCTTCTGCACCCTGTGGCATAGTTTCTAGGTTAGAAAGTCTGAACTCAGAATTGTAATATCAAAGTCCCATTCTAAATGAGCTTCAATATTAGAGCATTTATTTCCTTAAGTGTCTAATAGAAGGGCAGAAACAGGATGGGTCCAAGTTAGTGGCTCCAAGTTAGTAGCTCCAAGATGTTATTGATGACAAGGGACATTTTTGGTGTCAGTTGTCGAGGTCCTTTCCAGCTGTTTTCCTTTGTAATTATAAGATGGTTTTCAGAGGCAATAGGGTCAGATGATCCCTTGCTTCGTCTAGTTGAAGAAAGTTTCAATTTTAAACTACAGAATGTAAATCCTTTGCTATGTCGTTAGGGTCAACCTTGGTCATGTGTGACCTTTGCATTCTACTCTAGATAAAATCATAGTAATCTATTGCTTCAATCAATTTATCATCTGGGAAATGAAATACAACATAAAGAAATTAGCCATGTATTTACAAAGTGGCTGTTGAGGATCAATTTAGATGTACAATAAATCTGGTAATCTGGTAATAAAGGGCACTTACTTTTTCTAATCAGGATATGTGATTACAACATATTCTGATTAATTATAAATGGATTAGCCACTTTGAACTCACTCATTGACGTGTTCAGTTTTATAGTTTACCCTGTTTTACCTTAACATCACGATAAAGGAGCTAAGATCATAGCTTTGACTCCTTCCTGTCTCAATGAATTTTGTACAGAGGAAATAATCTTGAAAAATCCACTTATACCTATCGTGCTAAGCCCCATAAACAGTTCACACATTTGCCACTGTTTATAGTAAAACTCTATCAAACGTGAATGAGTCAGAACAAGCACATTATCACTGTGGAAAACAATTGAAGTGAATGACTTTTAAAAAAATTGAAAATAGATTCTTCTCTCATAAATACACCCTGACCATAATTTCCCTTCCCTCCATTTCTCCCAAATTGCCCCCATCTCCCCTCTCCCTCAGATCCACTCCTCCTCCATTTCTCTTCAGAAAGGATCAGGCCTCCAAGAAACAACAACCAAATAGGACAAAACAAGATACAATAAGAAAAGGCAAAAGCCCTCCTATAGGAACTGGACAAGGCAACCCAATAGGAGGGAAAGAATCCTAGGAGCAGGCAAAAGAGTCACAGACAAGATGTTTACAAGGAAAACTATGAGAAGACAGACTTTCTTTCTGAAGTTCATGGTTTGAATGTGCTAGTCAAACACTTTACTATTCAGTGATGCTATTAGTCCCCCCAAACAGGTTTTAAATAACAAATTTTTATCCAATGCAGTTGGATTGATAAGGTTAGTTTTGTATCTCTAGAACACATAGTGGTTCCTCCAGGTGGAGTACTTATGAACTGGGTGCCCAGATTATACTAAATACAAAAAATCCATTTTACCCCTAAGTAATCAGATTCCAAAGAAAGGATAAGAGTTAGCATCTTAAGCAAGTTCTTCCATTTCACTACAGCATACCATAACTCAGACAAGGTATGGTTGTTTGAAAGAAAATGGCCTCCAAAGGGAGTGGCACTATTAGGAGGAATAGCCTTGTTGAAGGAAGTGTGTCACTGTGGAGGCCGGCTTTGAGGTCTCATATATGCCCAAACCATGCCCAGTGAGAAAGACTACTTCCTATTGCCTGCAAGGTAGGACTCTCAGCTACTTCTTCAGTATCATATCTGCCTGCACAATGCCATGTTGATAATGGACTGAACCTCTGAACGATAAGCCACTACAATGAAATGTTTTCCATTGTAAGAATTGTCATAGTCATGGTGTCTCTTCACAGCAACAGAAACCCTAACTAGGACAGAAGTTGGTACCAGGAGTGGGGTATTGATGTGATAGGCTGGACCATGTTGTTGTTTGGAGGAATTTGGACTTTGGTATTTGGGTTAGGAAAGCAGTGGGATGCTTTAAGCACTGCTTAATGGGCCATACTAGTAGGATCATGGAAGACAATGGTGCTGAGTGTGATTTGGTGAACTGTGGGGGCCTTGTTCAATAGACTGCAGAAGAGAAGACTGTTAATATGTAGCCTAGAGATCATTCTTGTAACATTTTGGTGAAGAATGTAGCTGGTTTTTGCCTTGTCCAAAGAGTTTGGCAGAGGCTAAAGTGAAGAGCTTTGAAATAATCCATTGACAGAGGAAATCTTAAAACAGCTTAGTATTGACTCTATCATATAGTTATTAGAAGTCATTCTTATTAAGGTTTATAAGGAAAAGGAGCAAGTTAAGAAAGTAAAAATTTAAAATGTATAATTTGAGGAGAAAAGGAGTACCAGGAAGTGGAATGGAGCTAAGTCCTGCGTTTAAGAAGATAAACAGATTAAAAATGGAATAAAGGGAGTGGTGACCTCAGAGGAAAAACCTATGCAACTAAATTTCTAATTTGAGAAAGGGAATTAAAGAAAAGCTTAGAGGTAATTGTGGTTATGTATACCTTTAATACCAGTACTCCAAAGGCAGAGACAGGCAAA